TAGTAATATTATAAATGATCATTCTGCCTTTACTTTTCTCTTACAGGCATGAGCTACCACGCCCAGCCAGATACATCAAATTTTAAAAAGTAAAAAAAAAAAAAAAATCAGTTCTTATGGAAGGCTGTTCAGAAGTTCTTTTCTAGTAACCATATACTTGATACATCAATATGTACAATTTTAAATATACCATGCATTTTTTTCTTTTTTTGATGGAATTGTACAAAAGATAATTTATTAAAATTCCTGTGTTTCTGGACACAAACCTGTAACAGAACTACAGACCTCAAGCATGGCTTCAAGCATTCAGGTATGTATTATGCAACTCACCTATAATAAAAAATAAAATATAATCATATTTTGATCGCCACATTAAATAAAAGACTTAGTTATCTTTCCATTCTCTCCACGGAAATTGTGCTTTACAGAATTGACATCATAAATGTAAACAATGATTTATTAATATTTGTGGGTTTTGTGCAATTTTTTGTGTTTGTCAGCCTTTAAAAATTTGCAGTTGATTGCAATTTCCCTCCTCATTTGAAATAATATTCTCTTTTGTACTAATTTGTGTTTGGTTTATTTCTTTCTTTTTCTTTTTTTTTTTTTTTTTTTTTTTTTTTTTTTTTTTCTTTTTTTGAGACAAGAGTATAACTCTTGTTGCCCAGGCTGAGGTGCAATGGCACAATCTCGACTCACTGCAACCTCCACCTCCCAGGTTCAAGCAATTCTCCTGCCTCAGTCTCCTGAGTAGCTGGGATTATAGGCATGCACTACCACACCTGGCTAATTTTTTTTAATATTTTCAGTAGAGCCAGGGTTTCTCCATGTTAATCAGGCTAGTTTCAAACTTCCAACCTCAGGTGATCCACCGGCCTCAGCTTCCCAAAGTGCTGGGATTACAGGCATAAGCCACCGCACCTGGCCTGTGCTTGGTTTCTAAAGGAGCTCCTGATTTATCAGGTTTAGACCACACAAAATCTGGATCTGCACTGGCTCCATTCTTAAGCATCTTACAACAATTTTGCTAAAGTAATAATGCCACCAGCATTCTCAATTTGCAGGATTTTCATACTCCTCTCTCCCTTTTTCGGTGTTACCAGAAAATGCAATGATTTCTTGTTCTCTGAAAATTGCATACAGACAAATGTGAGTATATGTGAATATCTGCATATTGCAGATACGAATTATTCAGCCTCAGAGAGATTAGACCCTACAGTGCACTTTATTAAGGGAACTGAAGGCTTCATAGGAATACATAGGGGTTCTGAAAGTTGAAGACATAGAGTTTCAAACTGAGAAGTGGTCAAAGGGAAGGGCATTTTGTTTGAAGAGAAGCTACGCTAAAAGAAAGGGTGTAAGCAATTCCTGGGATTCAGTTTCTGGAACAGCCAAGGTTTGGCCCATGGAAGCCAATATGGAGCACCAATCAGGCACACATGGAGAGAGGCCTGGATTATGAACCAAGCCCTGGAGGTTGTTCAAGCTCCTCCTTATGCTAATTAGGCCAACCTGTGAAGTAGAAGAATAAAGGGTGAGATACTTGGACCCTGGCCACATTAGGAACCAAATCTTGCAGCTAATGAGGAAAAGGAGGTGGGATCCATTTTACATCTTTGGGCAGGAATGGAATGAAGGTGAGTTTGGGGGGCTCCTGGAATGATCATGGGTTCTGGTTTGCCCAGTAGAGTCCCAGTTTATGCCTGTTGTCCCAGTGTAATAGTTAATGGCACCTCAGTTTAAGACATTCTCAAAAGTGACTTGGTTTGGCCAATAAAGTATGTGGTTGCTTTGGTTAGAAATAACCTTTAAGCTTCATCCATGTCCCTACAAAGGACCCAAACTCATTGTTTTTGATGGCTGCATAAATCATTCTCAGCAAACTGACAGAAGAGCAGAAGATCAAACACCGCATGTTCTCACTCATAGGCGGGTGTTGAACAATGAGAACACATGGACACAGGGAGGGGAGCACTACACACTGGGGTCAGTTGGGGGGAAATAGGGGAGGGACGATGGGGGGTGGGGAGCTGGGGAGAGATAGCAAGAGGAGAAATGCCAGATGTAGGTGATGGGGGGGAAGGCAGCAAATCACGCTGCCATGTGTGTACCTATGCAACAATTTTGCATGTTCTTCACATGTACCCCAAAACCTAAAATGCAATAAAATAAATAAATGGGAAAAAAAAAAAAGAAATAACCTTTAAAAGGGAGAGAATTAGCAACAAGGTTTAGTGCAAAGTAAAGGCCTATAATGATTGGCTGGTGAACGGTGCTCAGGGCTGGGCTGAATTTACTGGGCCTCCATCTGACCTGGTCTGGGATACTCCACCACTTCTGTTTGCTCTCTACACCCGCTACTCACCTCATACTTGCCAATATCCCTTTGACTAATCCCTCCCTCCCCACCCTCTCTTTCCCAAAATATCCTTCTACTTGTACCACTGCATTGGAGCTGGTTCTGTCATCCCCAGGCCTACCCAGGTCTTTGAATAGACCAGCCAACACCCAGACCTCCCAGTGTGGCCTTGGTGAGCACAGGAGACTGGGACCTCTGGGACTTACGGAGCGTTTGGCAGGTGACCATGCAGATATCTTCAGTTTGGAAGTTGTTGTTGTTCCCCTGGCAACCTCCATAAATGAATTCGGAGCAGGTCTTAGTTTTTTTATTGTACCACCAGCGTGGGATGGAGGCCAAGCAGTAGCCAGGGTCTGGCAGCATACTGCATATATCTACAGGGAGATCGCAGAGCAGAGCTGTTTGTGTGCCTGTCTCCCTGGAGAATGTCCATCTCTCCCTTTCTCGGGCCACTGCTCTCTTTGTCTCCACTAAGGAACAAATTTGGCTCAGGGCTCTGCTCCCAATTCAGTGTGAATCTTGACCATTCATTTTACCTCTCTTGTCCTTGACTTCCTCATCTGTAAGATGAGAATACAAAAATTCCACCCTGCTTGCCTAACAGGGCTGCTGGAAGGAACAGCTGTGGCATCACATGGCTTCTTTTTCTTTGCCTCCCCAACATCTGAACACTAAATCTGGCTGTTTTGCTCCTAAATAGCTCTTCTTTATTTCCTTTCTGCCACTTTCTTAATTCAAGCATCATTCTCTTTTGCAAGGACTTCCACGAAAGGCCACCAGCTAATCTCCAAGATTTCTCCAGTCTGCTCCACACTGGTTTCCAGAATGGCTGATCTGCTGGACACAGGATGAAGCTCTACCAAACCCAGAAGGACTTGGGAAATTTCCTCCTCCTCCTCTCCAGCTTATTTCTTATGCTGCCCAACACCCAAGCTTCCCAACTGTATGCTCTAAAAATAGCACGTCCTTACATACCCCATGCCTTTGCACACGCCTGACACATCCAGCCCCCTCTTGATAAGTGCACTCTTGTTCCTTCTTTAAAACCCTTGCCAGACATCGGCTCTTTTCTGCAGTCTTTCCTGGATTCATTCTTTACTGCTTGCTTTTCTTTACTGCTTCTCAGTCTTACACACACATTTATCATTTCCATTTACTTTCTTGTTCATGTTTTCTGACTCCTCCATGAGAATGTGAGGTTTTTGAGAGGGGATCGCATCTTATGCCATCTTGATAAAGCAGTTTCTCACGGGTAATTTGGCATAGAAAGGATGCTTCATGAGTATTCACAAAAAAAAAAAAAAACCCAAAACCCAAATCTACTGTCGTCTTAAAGAAGCATTTATTGAGCAAATATTTTGCCCGTAGTGCTATGAGGTACAAATAGAGTTCTTTAGAACCTCATAGTCTGAAACACGACAAAACAATAATTATAGCATCGATTAGAGTCAGGCACTATTCTTAGTAGTTGACATCTATTAACATTTAATCTTGTAAAGTAGGTCCTCTTATCGTTCTAATTATGCAGATGAGGAAAGTAAGGTTTAAAGAGGCCAAGTAACTTTCCTGAAGCCACACAGATGGTAAAGGATTTGAACATAGGTTAATCCATTGCTTTTGGGATCAAGATCAGACCCCTTACCTGTCCTCCTTCTCCCATTAGCCCAGCTTCATCTTTCTCTCTTTTTAAAATTTGTTAATTGTTTATTTATCAAGAGAAACTATTCCTCAGCCCACATATTCATGCTTCATGGTTCAGGAACACAAGTCAGTGAGAAACTTCAACCCAGAGAAATTCTTTCAATTCCAAAGTCACTTTGCACTCTGAAAGACACCAGCCTTCCTCATCTCTTCAAAATCTGTTCTAGAATTACAATTTCTGTCAAAATCTGTGTATGCCTCATTTCTTGGTTCAGCAACAGCGAGCTTATATAGAGCTGCAATCCCTAGGAATGCAACACATGCTTGAACAATATGAAACCACAGGTGCTTGGCCAGAAGGCCACACATCCAACGTTTTGTCAAAGCACTGAAAACCTAGTTATTGTCTTGATAGGCATGTCAACCTTAAGTAACAAGATTCAGAACATATAATTAAGTAAAGAGTTTATTTGAGCCCAAAACTTGAGGATGGTCGCCTGGGTGTGCAGATTCAAGTTGCCCTGAATATACACTACCATCTTTCTCATCTCTTCCTCACTCTCTGCTTTCCAGTCTTTCTAGGCCTGAACATGCTGCCTCTTGCCACAGAGACTTGCACATGCTATTACCTGTGCCTGAAAGGCTATTTCGTCCCATTTTTTTGGTCTAAGTACTCATCTTTCAGATCTTAAATCATGGACCCCTTTCCCAGAAAAACCTTTTCTGATCTTCCTGGCCACAATGAGCAAGTGGAACTCATCATAGGTGTCAGGGAACCAATCAATATTTGTTGAATGAATACAATGGATGAATAGTCCTTGATCGTCTTCTTTAGAGCCCAATAATATGGGCAGAGAAGAAAGAGTGTGGGCAGTCTAAGGTGGTCAAGGAAGGCATCCTGGATTTATATAGACAGAGAAGCCTGGAGAAAAAAACCAGGAAATACATATTATATACTTATCTTGTATAGCTAACATATAACCTGACACAATGTTGGCATTTGATGAGACTTCAGTGACTACTTGGCATCTCGAGAATCACTGAAGAGTAGCCAAGAGACCATGTGGTCCCATATCAACGCCTGTCTTATGGACAGGGAAACTGAGGCCCAGAAAGGAAAACTACATTGTTCACATCACATACCAAAATAGGGGAAGAAATGAAACAAAATCCATGTCTCCCAAGTCCAGGACTGATAGATTTGTGTCAAGTAGAAGACATACCTAGACTCTTGGTCAGAGACCAGCCATCAGTGAACCAGGAGAGTTAGTGCAGTGCAGGTGGGGGCAGGAGATGAGGACATTGGGTAATTCAGAAAGTATCTGAGTTACCTTCTTTGAGAGCTACACATTTATTTCCACAGCTGTACATGCAACACTTCATGTCTTTCGGGCATTCGCTGTGTTGGGTACACTGATCTATTTCATCCATTGGGCATCTCACTCGGATTTTGGGACATGAACCTAAAAGAGGGGAAGATATATTCCTTCGAGGCCTTAAAGGAGCCAGTGCTCCGCCTCCCCAGGCCCAGGGCACCAGTGCAGAGTTAGAAAACATTGTTTCCACTCCACCTGTCCCCAGAAGGTAGTGGCCCTCAGGCGGCTCAGGAATTTCACAAAACTGCCCACATCCCCAACCCCATAACAACTCACCATCAGATCCCTAAACCAACCCCTACACTCCACCCACACCATCTATGAGGTTCCTGAGAGAAAGACGCATTCCTCTGAGACTATTCTAGTCACTCAGCATTGCTATGCTTGGTTGCTCCCCCAGGAGGTGCTATGACTCTCAATTATTGAGATGAACATTTCTGGCATCAGAGAGCTGGCCTTCTGAATTCTGAGCAACCCTTGATGTGCCAGGCACTCTCTCTGAGCCCTGATTTTCTCATTTGTCCATAGGGTTGCTTTGAAGACTGATGCAACACAGTTTGAAAAGCCATTGTCAAACTGCCTGGGGAATATAACATAACATAACAGTGAGTAATATGGATGAAGCCCCTACTGTGTGCTGGCCTTTTCTCCTTAATCCTCATTACAAATTTATGGGTAAGTACTGTTAATATTCACATTTTGTAAACAGAGAAATTGGAAGCATAAGGGGATTATATGAATTTGCCAAGGTCACACAGCTACTCATGGGCGGAGCCAGGATTTGAACCTGCAATGTGTGGCTCCTGAGTGCTCACTTTCAACCACTAATTTTCAGTGCTCAGTATATTTAGCTGCTAATTGTGGGTCTTCACATTTCAGCATTCCAAGGGACTTCTGGAGACCATTCTTTATCCCACAGGCTAGGGTCCTCTGTGAGTATGGGTGTGGGGGGCTGCAGGGAGAACATTTGGAAGCTGACACAGGTGGTATTGTAGGGAGTGGCCTGTTTTCCTTACGGGAAACTTCCTTGGGCTCACCACTCCTTCTTATTCCATTTCATGAGCTCTAGGTCCAGGCACCTCCAGGAAGAACTCTTTGGAATGACTGCAAGGAGTCAGTTGCCCCAGATTCAGGTGCCTATATTCACCAAATGAGTCTCTTACCGAGAGACTACAAATAGCTCCCCTATTTCCCACCTGGAACTCCAGGCAGAGATGGAGAAAATAATTCCTCATCTGCAAAATTATTCTTTGTTCCTTCCTTCTCGCTGAGTTTCCTTTCTCCACTGCAAGGACTGAGTTCCCAATACTTACCCCAAAAAGACCCTTCAGCATGCCCAGGTCCCTGGATGTCCCCTAGAAGGATGACTGGTATCAGGATTGGCAGAAATCCTGAGAGTCCCATGTTAGGAAGTACTGGCCTGGCTGATGGCACCAAAACTAAGAACGGCTGCTCAGCGGCTCCTACCTCTGCGCTTTGCCTGCACTGGTGTGGCTCAGCACTCCAAGAGACAGCCCTGGAGACAAGCCAGGCAGATTCCCTTCATCAGGAACATCAGATCCCTGAGGCCACGAGTGCGACTAGCTGGTACCTACCCTGGGGGAAGGTGGGGCTTGATAGGCGGTTTCCAATTCTTAGCAATTGGAGGCTCTCTGGCCTACCAGGGAAAGAGGGCACATCTTGTCCTGAGCTTTCTAGGCTCCCGTAGCAGAAGAGGCTGTTTAACTCGAGAGTCTGCCATTTCCCAGGGGGCATTTGAAGGTTAAGAGTATGCTAGTTCTCTTACTTCTTTCGAATTTCACTCTTCTCCTGACACGTCTATTCTTGTTTTATTTTTCTCACTGTTTCTTCTCTTTTTTGTATCTCTTTATGTTTTGTACTCTGTGCCTGTCTTTTTCTCTTTTTCAGTGAGTCTGTCTGTCTGAATCTTTCTCCCTGACTTTCACTTGCCTCTCTTCTTTTGTATGTAAAGATCAGTTATATTTATTCTTTAAGTCAGTTGATTTTGCAACAATCGATAACATCTTTTGTTACTTTGGGACTTCTCTAACTCTGTTCTCACTTTGTCCCTGTTGTCGCAGCTATAGCATTGGATAAAAAGTTTCAAAAGCATTAAGGCTTGAGCATCTGCACCAAATTTCATATCCTTGGTATAGGCCCGAGTGAAGTGAGGAGCCAGGTACCTGGGCATCAATCCCATCTGGCAAAGGACTGTGGGTAATGAAAACATTTCTGTAGGATGGCAGCAGGGTGTCTGTGTGCAGCAAGGCATGTCATCAGTGGTGAGTGAGATATTAATTCCTGTTTATGGCTGAATAATAGCCAATGCACATTGATAGCCTCCTACCTCCAAAATTAGTCCCTACTTTTCTGCTGTGGGTTTTCTCCGGCCCCTTGGGAGCTTGTATATCTTGTATGCATAAAAGTCTGAAAGAGTGAGGGATTTAGCATCTCTGACATCCAGTGGGCGTTGGGAGTCAGTGGACAAATAGCTTAGCTTCCCATCACAGGAGATAGATTAAGAAAATTTGTGATCTGATATCCAGAATCTATAAGGCGCTTAAACAAATTTACAAGAAAAAAAAACATCAAAAAGTGGGCAAAGAACATGAACAGACACTTCTCAAAAGAAGACATCTATGCAGCCAACAAACGTGAAAAAAAGCTCAGCATCACTGATCATCAGAGAAATGCAAATCAAAACCACAATAAGGTACCATCTCATGCCAGTCAGAATGGTGATTATTAAAACGTCAAGAAACAACAGATGCTGGCAAAACTGTGGAGAAATACGAATGCTTTTACACTGTTGGCAAGAATGTAAATTAGTTCAACCATTGTGGAAGACAGTGTGATGATTCCTTAAAGATTTAGAGCTGGAAATACCATTTGACCCAGCAATCTCATTTCTGGGTATATACCCAAAAGAATATAAATCATTCTGTTATAAAGATACATGTATGCGTATGTTCATTGCAGCACTATTTACAATAGCAAAGATATGGAATCAACCCAAATGTCCATCAATGGTAGAGTGGATAAAGAAAATGTAGTACATATATACCATGGGATACTACTCAGCCATAAAAAGGAATGAGTTCACATCCTTTGCAGAGACATGGATAAAGCTGGAAGCCATTATCCTCAGCAACCTAACACAGGAACAGAAAACTAAACGCTGCCAGTTCTCACTTGTAAGTGGGAGCTGAACAATGAGAACACATGGACATTGGAAGGGGAACAACATACACTGTGGCCTGTTGAAGGGGCAGGGGTAGGGAAAGTATCAGGGGCATGTGGGCTTAATACCCAGGTGATGGTTTGATAGGTGTAGCAAACCACCATGCCACACACTTACCTGTGTAACAAACCTGCAGGTCCTGCACATGTATCCTAGAACTTAAAATAAAATAAAATAATTTTTAAAAAGAAAATGTGGAAGCCTGTTTTACATGATTCTTTAAAAGGTCCCCAGTAGGACTGAGCCACAGTGATAACCAGCTCATAATAGACTCCTCTCTCTTCCCTAAATTACTCATCCCACTCCCCCATCCTGTATGTCTTGGGAGGTCTCCCAGACAAACTACCTGCACCCATGCCCTTTTCCAAGGGTTCATTTCTAGAGGATCCAAACTAAGTCATTGTCCTTGGGCCCTTGCCTAAAAAGAATTTTACAATCTTTTATAGAAACAGAGGTATATAACAATAACAGTATCCCTGGAGCTCACAACTCTTCAAAGTTCTGATTGTCTTTACTCCCTTGAATGGTATCACCAGAAGCCTCAACGATCCCTTACTCTACAAGTGCAATGTGCCAAAAAGATGTCAATTACTCAGCCTCAGAGGCACAGGACTTCATCAAGTACTTTATTGGAAAAAATTGAGAGTGACACAGTATAAACTGGGAGCTCTAGAAGTTGGAGATAAAGGGGACATAAGGATGAAATCAAAACAGAAGGATATTGTGCATCAAAAGAGGCAAGGTCTGGGGAAGAGGAGGTAGATGCAGGGGTTCTGTTTTGGGAAAGGCCAAGATCTCGGAATGCTGAGAGTGAAACTGGAAGTCAATCTAGAGCATCGGTCAGGTACACGGACAGTCCTCAGAGCATGAGCCACATGCTGGTAGTTCTTCCAGTGCATCCTTATCCATTCAGGGAACACCTGTAGAGAACGTAGGACAGAAACAGTTAAGCATCTTGGGTTCAGCTTATCTTTGGAGGCTGAAGTTACGTTTATACATCTTTTCACAGAAAGATACTAAAAAGAAGTGGGTTTGCTTTGGGGAGTTCTCCATCTCCTTCAAGGACAAATGAATAGGAATTGCTGGCAAAGAGTTGTACTGAGAGCATTGATGGCTTGGAAGGGTTGGTTGGTCAACCTATCCAGGTTTAACGTCCTGTGCCTCTTCTGCAGTTCGTCTCTGAGATTTCACCACTTCTGTACCCTTCCTCTACCCCTCCTAACTCCCCTCATACTCGCCAACATTGATTACTTCTGCATCCCTCTCATCCTCAGTTCCCAGAAAGTAACTTTGTCTTACCCCTTTGCCAGGTGCATTCTGATCTCCTGATTGGAGCTGGTTCTGTCAGCACCAGGTCTGCCAAAGATGTAGCTGTCCTGGAATGGACCAGCCAACACCCAGACCTCCCAGCCTGGCACTGGAGAAGATGAAGGAGCGGGGCGCCCAGGACTCACGTTTTTTCTTGCAGGTGTTCAGGCAGTTGGTTTTGGATTGGAAGTTGTTATTGTTTCCCTGGCAGCCGCCATAGATAAAGATGGAGCAAGTATCATTTTTCTTGTCATACCACCAACGACGGAAAAAAGCCATGCAGGGGCCAGTTTCCTTTGGCATTTCACATACATCTGCAGAGAGACTCCAGAGTTGAAAACTCAGAGTGCCTACTCCAGAAATGAACAGGTGTTATTATTCTCCCTGAAAACCACTATAGATGAAACTGGAATAGGCTCCTTTTCCTTTGTCACACAGCAGGAGTACAGCTCCACTGAAATATTATACACATTTGCAAGGAGACCCCAGAGTGGGCAGCTGTATCCCTGGAGATAGTGTTGTCGCAGGTGTAATTAGTTAAAATGAGGTCAGACTAAAATAGGGTGGGCCTCTGTACTGGTATGACTGATGTCCTTATAAAAACAGGTAAATTTGGACGGAGGCATACACACTGGAAGAACACCACATGAATGTGAAGGCAGAGATTGGGGTGATGTGTCTATAAGCCAAGGAGCACCAAAGATTGCCTTCAAACCACCAGAAGCTAGGGGAGAGGAATGGAACGTGCTTCTTCCCCATAACCCCGACAAGGTACCAACCATGCTGACACCTTGACCTCGGACTTCTGAGGAACTGTGAGACCATACATTTCTGTTGTTTAAGCCACCCAGTCAATGGTACTTTGTGATAGCAACTTTAGCAAGCAAATACAGGTCCCAACTAAATTATGCTTACACAGTTCCACATGAGTAAATCTCCACTGCTGAGCAATTAGGTCCTGTTGATTTTTACCTCCTAATAGTTCACCTCTCTGCCAGTCTCTTTAATATAAGCCTCAGTGTCTCATGCCTGGGCTGTTGAGATAACCTCAGATTGATCCCCCTGCCTCCAGTCCTGGCCTCTCCAATCAATCCTTTATGCTTCCCACCAGAAAGACGGATCTGATGGATCTGAAAGCCAGGCTCATCATGTCATTCCACAGATAGGACCTACCTCGACTTCATGACCATGTCCTCACATGACCCACAAGGCCCTTCATTGCCTGGCTCCTACTGTGATGCTGGCCTCCTCCCCTGCCACAGAACCCTCCGAGCTACATGCTTCAGCAATATTCAACACACTACCCCATACCTCTATCCCTTTGCACTGCTCACAGTGACACTCCTCTTCTTCCTTCAAAACCTTTCTCAGACATCGGCTGCTGTGATGTCTTCCTTGACCCTATTCTATATCCCTCACCACCACACCTTGCTTCAGAATCTTGTGCATTCATTTTTTATTTATTTATGTGCTCATATGCTTCTAGGAACAGAGAAAAGGCATGATCTCTGCTATTTAAGAGCCCCCAGCCAAGAATCACAAACAAGAGAATAGGTTATCAGGTGGCTATTATGTACCAGTCATTGCTGTAAGCACATCATGCAGATCAATTTATATGATCCTCAAAATAACCTTTTACACTGATCCCTTTATTAGCTGAGGAAACTGAGGCACAGTGAGGGAAAGTCGTTAATTTATCCAAGACAAAAAGACTGGTACAAACCGGAGGTAAGAGTTGAACTCAGGATGTCTGCATTCAGAATCCTTACCTGCTGGCATATGAGTGACTTAGCCTCCGGCCTGCCCACTCTACTTCTGTCAAGTCCTGTTTACTTTACCTCCCATATACCTTTCAAGCACATCCTACTCTTCTTCATTCATCCCCTCAGCTACCTCTAGCTCTGGCCACCACTTCTATCATCCTGAAGTCCTTTAAGACACTCTGCTCCTCCTATTTTAACCTCTATAGATGTAGTGTGAACCTGGTCATGTGACTGGCCCACCTTGGTGGATTGCCATGGCCCTTAGGATCGAGACAAGACTCTTTCATCTGGCCCACCATACCTGAATTGTTTGATCTCTGCCCATCCAGGATCTGTTTTCCTTGTACCATGCTCGTGTTCACTCTGCATTCTGGCCTCCCCAGGCCCCACCATTGAGCCTTGTGGATGCTACTCCTGTGCTTGGAAAACCCTTCCACCACTTTTTGCCTAAAACATTACCCATCTTTCTCAACTCAGCTCCAGATTTGCTTTCTCAAAGAAGGCAATCCCAACCTTCCTGACCACGCTGAGCAGATCGAATCCTAAATTGGGTCTCAGAGGCACTCAACAAATATTTGTTAAATGAATGAAAAAAGAATCTTTGATAGTCTTTTCGCATCCCAGGGAGATGGGCATGAAATTAAGATGCAGCGGAAAGGGAAAAACCCTCTGTTCTGGGGTGGTCAGGAGAGGTATTTTGGTGCAAAGTTGGATTTGTGTAGGCAGAGAGGTGGTCACTCCATACAAAAGAGCTAGGAAATATAAATTGCTTAATTTATCACTTGCAGCAACAATGTTGGTATATGTTAGGGCAACTACGGCCACCTGGAGGCTCAAAAAAATTATAAGAGTGACAGGTAAACAAATAGCCAAAAAAATATCTGTTTCAATCCCACTGCCTCACCACTCATTTGTTTTCGTGAAGATAAGAATGACCTTATCCTATCAAGTAATGTTTGAAACTGAGTCTCAAATATTACCTGATAGGATAAAGTCATTACTATCGTCACACACCATATTTGGCACAGTAATGAATCTAAATCGCAGGTCTTCCAAGTCCAGCAATTTTGCCGGAGACCAGCCCTCAGCGACAAGGGCACAAAGCCAGCCCAGGAAGGCAGAAGGTGAGGATATGGTGGGGAGGGGTTGGTTATTCTGAGGCTCTGAATATTACCTTGTGTGACATCAAAACATTTTTTTCCGCAGCTGAAGACACAACACTTCTTGTTGTCCTGGCATTGTCTGTCCTTTGTACACACATCCCTTTCTTTGAATGCACATTCTTCTTTGATTCTGGGACATCTCTCTAGGGAGGGAGCAGTTTTACACCCGTGAGCCTTGGAGAGCACAGTGTCCCTCCGCTTTGCCAGACACAAGGCAATTCTGGAGAGTCAGGGAAGTTTGTTTCCACTTTGCTCCCTTCCAGGAGTTCTCTTCCTCAAGGCGGCCTCACTCACTTCCCTACTGCCTACACCCCGCTCCCTCCTGACCACTCCTCCCTCTCTTCCCATCCCCCCAGCTCCATCCCATCTCAAACACCAGTGATATTTGGGCTGGATAATTCTTTGTTTGGGGGGCTGAACTGGGCATTGTAGGATGTTTAGCAGCATGCCAGGCCTCTTTCCATCAGACCCCAGTAGCACCCGCTGGTTGTAACAACCAAAAATATCTCCACGCACTGCAAAGTTCCCCTGGAAGGCAAAATCGCCCCATTGCAGGCCACTGGATTAAGCTGACGTGATGTTTTTGGCTTTGTTGAAGAATCAATGTTTGGAAGTTCCTCTAGGTGGAGATATTATACAGCGATTAATATCACTTACCCAGGAGCCAGTTTAGATTTTGAATTCTTACTCTTGGTCTGAATTCTGACCCTCTCTGAACCTTGGTTTCATCAACTGTAAAATCGTTTTGCCCTTAAGGAGTTGTGAGAAAGCGATGAGACAAAGTATATAAAGCTCTAATCATAGTAACAGATACGCAGTCATATTAACTAACATTTGCTAAGTACTTACCATAAGCCGAGCACTCTTCTAAGCATTTAAAATGTATGATCTCATTCAACCTTGATAATCACTCTATGAAGGAAGTTCTGTTAATATCCTCATTTTACAGATGCGGAAACTGAGGCCCACGAAATTTAAGTAACTTGCCCAAGATTACGTGGCTACCAAGATTTGAACCCCCCAAATCTGACTCCAGACCCCTCTGTTGTTTTAGAAATCCCTTTTCAGAAATCCTTACTTCCTGAGTGTTCAGCAAATGATAACAATGATCATTGTTACACTATAGTCATGGAACATTAGCGTCTTAAGTTTGAAGGGACTTCTGGACGCTGTCTTTTATCTCAAAGTTAGGGAACCCCTAGGGATACAGGGATCATTTATGGGACTACATTTGAAAGAACCAGGAGTTGATAGAGACGGCGGCTCAAAAAGGGGCCTGTTTTGCTTGTGGGGTAAGGAGAAGGTCTCTTGGTTTCGTGGATTCCTGTAGCACCTACCCTAAATGCTAGATTCTGTGACTCTCTTCCACCTCCTTGATAAAGACTCTCCACTTCAAAGGGGCTGAAAGTGGGGCTTGCCTAAGTAAGGGTTTCTGCATTCCCAGAAGGGATCTTCCACAGGAGGGAGCTTACAAATATCTCTCTCCTCTCCCAACCTGGGACCTGGCTAAGATGGTGGAAAGCAACCCGGATCTGAAGAGTTGTTCCCTGATCCTTCCTCCCAGCAAACTCCCCTCTCTCTAGGGCAAGGACCGAGGCCCAATACTTACTGGCAAATAACCAATCAGTCAGACCAGGTCCCTGGACATTTACTAAGAAGATGAATAGCACCAAGAGGCTCAAAAGTCCAGAAGATCCCATGCTGAAGAGAGACTGGCCTTTCTTGTGGTTCCAGAATTTGGAATGCTCAGCTGCTGTGGCCCAGCCTATTCCTTCAGTAGCCAGGACCTTGGATATAAGAACTGGAGACAAGCCAGCCACTCCCTTTCTTGCTGGGAACACTAAGTTCCCAAGGTCACAAATGGAACTAACTCCCTCCCCCCACCCAGCTCACAGCTTGGGAGGAAGGGTCTCTTTATTGAATGGATCTTGGTCCTTACACCCCTGGGCTGCACTGGGCTGGGGGCTCTAGTCAACCCTGGGGAGTGGGCAAAGCGTGTCTCCCACTTTCCAGGCTACCTTCAGAGGGAATGCCACCATCATGGGTCTTCATCTTGATAACTTGGAGAGCAGTGCAGTGTCCTCGTTCTTCATTCATTTTCCAGCGTACGTGCACACTTACTAGCACACCCCTCTGCTTGTCTCTGACAATGTGTCTCTGTTGGTCTCTTGGTATCTCATCGTTTATTGGTGGCTCTCTGCGCCTGTGTCTGTTTCTCTTTCCCGTGGTCTCTGTGTTCCTTTCTCCCTCTCCCGCAGTTTCCTCCCATCCTTCTCTCTTTTATTTTATCTTTGGTTCGCTCATATTCTTTGACCAAGACCAAAGAATAAAGATGTTGCCGCAGAGCAGGGTGTAGAGGAGGAATTAGGCTGACAGCAGAGTCTTCAGAGAGTGTTTTTCAACGTTGTGTTGCTTTCAGAGCAAGAAAGGCTATCAAAGCTTAGAGGGAGCCTCAACCATCAACCCCAGCTTCTTGTTGTCTAAGGAACTATGAAGTAAAGGGACTTGCCTGAGAGACTACAGTGGAATAAAGTTCAGTAACACAGCAGAGTTTCGGGATTCTAACTGGGCTAGTAGAGGAGCGGTGGGAAAGAGGTGCTGGAGAATGTGGGCAGCTCTCCTTCCTATAGCCACAGAATCTACACCGGCCACTCAGCCAGTCCTGGGAAGGAGAAAGACACTCTTCATAGAGTAAATGTTATCCCTAGGGCTCCCGTTTTCTTCTCTAACTAGGTGTTGCCCTTTAGGGCCAAGTTTGTTCTCCAAGTTTTCCTACATGACAGACAGAGGCCAAAGACAGCCTTATCATCAGAGAGTGACTGTATGGTCACAAAATTTAGGATCGGAGGCAGAGCCCCCGTAAGAATCCCATTCCACCAACTTCACAATCTCACTTAAAGAGACTAGTGAATCAAATTTCTTTTTTTCTTTTCTTCTCTCTTCTCTTCTTTTCTTTTCTTTTTTTTAAAGACAGTCTTGCTCTGTCACCCAGGCTGGAGTGCAGTGGCACAATCTTGGCTCACTGAAACCTCCACCTCCCTGGTTCAAGCAATTCGTGCTTCAGCCTCCCGAGTAGCTGGGATTACAGGCATGCACCATCATGCACGGCTAATTTTTGTATTTTTAGTCAAGATTGGGTATCGCCCTGTTGGCCAGGTTGGTCTCCACCTCCTGCCCTCAAGCAACTCGCCCACCTAAGCCTCCCAACATGTTGGGATTACAGGCGTGAGCCACTGTGCCTGGCTAGAATTTCTAATGGACAAGTAAGATGTCCTAAGCAGTGCTGTTTAACTTATTTTATTTCCCATATTCTCACAATCTCAGCCCAGACGGGAGTGAAAACTGGAATATCTTGGTGGAAGGGCTCTGAGGGATCATCAAGCCCCATTTCATTTTATAGATGAGAATCATAAGGCCCAGAGAAGTGCAGGTACTGATTAAATGTCACCCAGCAAGTGAGTGTCAGAAATAAGGTTAAGAGGGAGCTGAGCATACAAGTTCTTGCCACAGGACACCAGGGCATGTTCTGATGTTGGCGTGGATATATTCTCTTGTAGAGTTGAAGATAGAGAGGAAGGGTGAGTTCAAGAGAATGAAGTGATGTCTGTAGTGGAGACAGAGGCTGAACACCCAGAGTCAGTAAATTTCCAAATGGTACCCAGGGTCCCTAATTAAAGCTGTATTTCTTTCCTAAATTTTATTGAAAATAAATTAACTACCTTTGTGGTTGTTACATTCCATTCTGTCTTGCCTAATTTTCAGGCCCAATCCAAGCATCTCACTTTCCAACCAGGTGAAATAAAATTTATGACTTTGGGACTTGGGATGAATCATGGTTTGGGCCCCTTCTCTCCAATAACTTTTTGGAGAAGGCTAGGTATGGACTCATCTGAGGTTTTGCGTCTCCTTTCGTCATCCCCTCTATTGAGGGCCATGGTGTCTGACCTCTGCCTCAGTGTCAATTCTCTTCCAGGAACGATCCTGTGCTCAGAACAGGGGACGCCAATGAGAACCAAGCAGATCAGCTTCTACCTGGCACCTCCTGCTTTTTCACTAGCCCAAGGCCTGTCACATGGACTGACTGTCTGTCACTGGCTTCCTGTGTTGCTCCCTCTGCCTCTAATTCTATTATTAACTTACATGTTTGCTCTACCAAGTAAGCTCCAAACTCCATTAAACAGGTCTGTGTCTAGAACATAGTGCTTAAAACATGAATAGGCTCAAAATAAACCCTCAGTACATCCTGCTGGATGAGCAAGGTAGGTGGTGGGGATTGGTAGGTGTGTGAATAAGTAAGTAGATATGTGGATGGGTAGGTGGCTGGTAGAGTGATGAGTGGGAAGATGGTTGAACAGGAAGAGGGATTAGTGAAGGAAGCATGGAAATTTGGGTGCATGAATGCATGGATTATGGATGGGTAGATTATTGGTGAATAAGTGGATTGGCTTGAATATAAGGATGGATAGGGTAGTGATGGGATAGGTGAGCCTATTGATGGGGGCCGTTCGAATGAAAGGTGGATGAGTGCATTGGTAGGTGGATGGAGGGAGGTAGGTATAGAAATTATGAATGTGTATTTTGATGGGCATGAAAGAGTGTGGTGTGTGTGTGTGTGTGTGTGTGTGTGTGCAGATAAAGTGGGAGGAGAGAGGTCAATAATAGGAAGATGAATTAAAGGCTGGGTGGGCAAGTGAGTCTGTAGAAGAAAGATGAGTAAGAAGGGTAAGTGGACAGACATATGGAGTGGGCAAGTACTAAGTTGAAGGGTGTGTCAGTGAAGGGATGGGAGGGATAGGTGAGTGAGGATTGGGTATCTGCATATGTGTTGAGTGAATGGGTAGGTAAGTAACGGGATTGAATGGTTAGTAAGTAAATAGGTGGGTAGAAACATGAACGTACAAGTAAAAACACTAACCAAAGTTAAAGATATAAAAAGAATTATATGGAGAACAATTTATACTACTCTAAAGTAATACATGTGAAAATATAGGAAAAAAATGATTAATTTTACCAAAATACAAAAGATCAAAATTTGCAGAAGAGGAGGTGGAAAACTTGCAGATGAAAAATAAGATGAAATATTTTAAAATTACTAAAACATACCACTAGAAAGACCCTGACCTAGATGCTTTTGGAGCTGAATTTTGGTGGCCTTCAAAAAACATAGAATTGATATATTATGTAAAATATTTCAGGCCATAGAAATGGTAGATATATTTCCCAATTAGCTCCCATACTCATGTTTTTTAAGTAATATGACCCAAATAGAAAAACAAATAAAAAACATAGACCTATTTTTCTTTTGACTACAGATGTGAAAATTCAAAATAGACTATTAGCTAAAAAGAACCAATAATATATTGATACAATAAACTGCAATTGAGGTTATTCTAAGTATATTGATATAACACATTGCAATTAAGTTTATTAAGAATGCAAGGATGGCTCAAGAAAATTTAACAAGTTATTATGCCAACAAATTAGAAGAGAAAAATTATCATGTGACTATATGCTCAAATTTGATAAAATTCAGCAGTCACTTTTAGTAGCAGCTATAAATTGATAGGAAATAAGCTTAAAAAGGAAGTAATTAGCCAGGCATGGTGGCTCTCGCCTGTAATCTCAGCACTTTGGGAGGCCGAAGCAGGTGGATTACCTGAGATCAGGAATTCACAACCAGCCTGGCCAACATGGGGAAACCCCATCTGTACTAAAAATGCAAAAAATTAGCTGGGCATGGTGGTGGGTACCTGTAATCCCAGCTACTCAGGAGGCTGAGGCAGGAGAATTGCTTGACCCAGGAGGCAGAGGTTGCAGTGATCATGCCATTGCACTCCAGCCTGGGCACCAAGAGCAAAACTGTCAAAAGGAAGGAAGGAGGGAAGGAAGGAAGGGAGGGATGGAAGGGAGGGAGGGAGGAAGGAAGGAAGGAGGGAAGGAAGGAAGGAAGGAAGGAAGGAAGGAAGGAAGGAAGGAAGGAGGGAAGGAAGGAAGGAAGGGAAATTTAAGTGTAATAAAACTTATTCATTCCAAATTCAACAACAAATGTCTTTTTACATCACAGGAGCCATTGACTTTAAAATAAGGAACTAGACAGAGATGGATGCCATTGCCTTTATTTTCATGATTATTTTGAAGTTTCTATACAGTACAAGAAGACAAGAAAATAAAGTCATGATGTTGAAAAAAGAGTCAAATATATCCTCATTTTAAGATGATGGGTTTATATATAAAATTAAAGTAACATCATTCAATATCGTGATACTTAATTAGATAATTTGGCAAGGTAGTTGGATATAAGACAAAACTGACAGCTTTTTATTATGCTACTCATAATTAATGATTTTGATGGTAATATTTTCTATTTGCTATTCAATATTTGGGTTCTATACATTTCAGTCCACAATGTGAGCAGCACTTTTCCCCCCATGGACACTCACCATCCTGCAGGCACTTGGGTTTATCAATCTTGGCACATGCCGAGGGCTTGTGTGGGCAGAAACCTGTTTTGACTTTATGGGGTAAAAGAAGACACTTGACCTTAAAATACTTGGTCATAATTTGAGACAAATTTGGGGAATCTTGGGAATCTCAAACAGGGTTTTATTCTGGTTGAGCTTCTTACCTTTCCCCCTGTAGTGGCAATAGACTGGGGGAGGCAGAGTATCAACTTTCTACAGCTAATAACTTGAGAAGCATCAAGAAAAGTCGTGAGATCTCTGATTTGTACCATCTGTTGGGGTTCCTGTCTGCTCCTATA